TGGGGGGGTGCCTCTATTGCATTTCACTTAGACTAACGAATACTGGCGTCTGTGTCATAGCGGTTAAGCTTTACTTTACGTGCGGAGAACTTGAGTTCAATTCCCAAATGGAGAAGTTTATTTCATCACTCGGTCTTTCTGAAAAGAGGTTGTCGTCCACTCAGTACAGGTTTGGCACAGACAGACAGGGTCGACCCGCTTCGCCTTTTAAATAAATAATGTGTCATTGGTGGCGTAAAACACGACATTTGACTGACAATCAAACAAAAGTGATCTTCAGGCTTTATGCAAGCCCAGCGAACCTTTTATTTCAGTTTTGCTTATTGATATAGGATAACGAAATCAATTTCTTACTTCAGTCTGTTGTCAAGAGTCGCATAAATACCACAGCTTGACCAAATGGTTGATGGGCGCTTCCATATGATCTGCTTCTTCTGTTTCTCATCATAATCTATTCTTAGCGAAACGTGTCCGTTACCACCCTGTCAGCTGTAATCAGCCACAACCACTTGCATTTCGTCCACACCCCCGTCGTATGGCGTTGTAAATAGATTTGGCATATTTGCCAGGCTCAAATCAATTGGGAGTGTTGATTTGTGCTATCGCTTAAATTATTGATTCATAAATTGATTTGCTCATTTGTAAATGTCTGTTTCTCTTCTTTTATGATCCATGTTTTTGCGTGATTTATTCGTTTTCATCGCCATCGTTTTCTTTGCTTCTTGTCCATATGCGTGTTCAGCCACTAGCTGGCTCTCTCAATTGATTTTAATGTTCTCTCTACAGGAATATTTGAACTGAATGTTAAACTCATTTCAATACTATGTTCCTTTGATAAGCTGTTGCTGCAGAATTTAAAAACAACTCTAGCCAATATTAGAAGGATCTTCAGGGCGGTATACGATTTCACCACAGATACGGGATGTTGATTACTGTTAATGATGTCAACCTGTAGGAGCTCTCTTTAGTTTTGTGTCGAAAAGACTGCATGTGCGGGTGGTTGGAGGGTGTCACTTGTAGGTCCTACTTCTTTACCTCACCTCTGTTGTCTCTGTCTATCTGTCTCACTTTTCCCCAGCACTAAATGACCGTTATTGTGTCGGTGTGCTTCTCTTTACTTAAGCCAACAAGACTGCTTATCTCCCGCTCCACGTTGTTGGCTTTCTTCATTCCCCGTCTCTCTGTGTTTGCCTCCCCATGCACGCCCTGCAGTACGGCATGCGCGCCATCTTGTGGTCTGCCTGGTTCGGTCACATCCCTGTGTTACGGGCTCTGGTCAATGCCGGAGCCAGCACCAGAGTCGCCAACAAGGTTTGCACTTTCCTCATTACAGATAGTTCCACAGCTGCATTGGGAGGATCTAGTCTGTGATGATTCACTCAACTGGAGGATAGAGGTGGAGTAGGGTTCAGGGATTGGGATCGGTATTGGAGCAGTGGTTGGTTGACGATAAGGCTGGAGCGAGAAAGAGAGAGTGGCATAGGGAGAGAAGGAGAAGAAGAAGAAGAAGAAGAAGAAGAAGAAGAAGAAGAAGAAGAAGAAGAAGAAGAAGAAGAAGAAGAAGAAGAAGAAGAAGAAGAAGAAGAAGAAGAAGAAATATGGGTCAGCACAAGAAAGCATAATAATTATATTTACAGTTGGGTTCTCAAGTCTGTTATAGGCTCCTTCGGTACTCTGTATAGATACGACTGAAGCGGTAGATCAAAGCCCCCCCCCCCCCCCACTCCCCCTGAACGGCTGAAGGATGGGACATGTAGGGCTCACCTCTGCACAGTGAACTACAGCATTAATAACCGATGCTTTTGCAACCAGGAATGTATAGTGATATTTTAAAAGAAGCAATATTGAATGGGAAGGTGATAAAGTAAAGTTTTTAAAAAATGGTAGGGATCTGGGTAAAAGTGAATTTATAGAAGTTTTTTTCAGAAGACATGACAGAAAGTAGGTGTGAATCCAAACAATTTCGTTGCATTTGAGTGTTCAGATAGATCTGATTCTCACTGCTTACATTTCGTATCTGAATGCATTGCCTTTAACAAGCCTGTGCAATCTGTTCTCAGCTTTGATTTATCTTTCTCTCAAAAACATGCAGCAAGGTCATTAGCTATTGGAACTGTACACTGTCTAGAAACTGATAGTCCTGTTATGATTTGTAAAGAAAGAAGCCAGGAGAGCACTGCCATTTGTGTTTTTGTTTTCTTAAACAGAGAGGCTGTTCAATTGATTATAATATTATGTCCTGTGAGATTTATAGACTCCACAAGTTATTATATGAGTGCTTATTTAATTATATCTCGTATAGTGTAATTTTTTTTTGAAGTCCCCCTTCCCCCAAATTCCTGTCTGTTTGTTTGTCTCTTTTTGCCCTTTTCTCTCTTTGTCTTTTCTCCCCCCCCCCCTCTCTCTCTCTCTCTCTCTCTCTCTCTCTCTCTCTCTCTCTCTCTCTCTCTCTATCTATCTATCTATCTATCTATCTCTACGGGCGCGTGTGCACGTGTGTTTGTGTGAGTGTGTGTCTGTATGTGTGTATGTATGTGTGTGTGTGCGTGTGTGTGTGTGCGTGTGTGTGTGTGTGTGTGTCTGTGTGTGTGTGTGTGTGTTTGTAGGTTATATACCACCTACGATTTCGATGACAATATAATCATGTCTTCACTGCCTTAAGCAGTGGGGTCGTTATGAGACAAAATCTCAGCTAAGTACTTCAAATCGCCCTCTTTGTTATAATCAAAAATCAAATCGGGACGTCACCTGTTCCTTTCATTGTTAACAACTTTCAGTTTCTTTGTGATATGTAATAAGAAATGAATCTTCAATCTTCTCTCACTGCCTAATTACGGTCCATAGAAACAAGAATCTTTATTCTCTTTGAGATAGTAAAATATAATCCATTCCATTGTGTTCCACATCGCCCCTCAAATTCTATTTCCCACATCCCTCTTTGTGCGCACTCTTCGAAACATTTATTCTCCTCTTAAAATACGCCTTAGGTCAATGTAATTGTTCGACATTGTTGTGAATATGTTCTATTATGCCCCTTATCGCCGCTGATCATCCCCACCACCCAGTGTCCCTTTTTCTTTTAACTATTCTCCTCGTTTCGGTTCCTCCATAAAGTAAACAATTTTGTCATGGTATATGTGCTTCCATCTGCCCACAGCAAGGGCTGGGCGTGCTTCACTGTGCAGCAGAAAACAATCACGTGGCTGTCATCTCTTTCATTTTCGAGGCCTTAGAACCACACGACGTGAACCTGCGAGATAAGGTCTGTGTTTTTGTCAGTCTCAAACAACCCTGATATATAACATAATGTATAATATTCATGATGAGAGTCCACGTATTTTAAACTTTTGGGAAAGAAGACTTTTGTTTTTACCTTTAGTTAGGCTTATCGTGGCAACAGAGAAGAAGTTGTGCAACGAAGTCGGTCACCAAACCTGCGTTTTTAAGTAAACGTCAGTAGAAAAGAAACCCGGTGGGATGGAAGGGTTCTCAATCAAGGATGATACTGAGAATAATAATAAGCAGAAGTGCGGGAACTTGAAAGTCCTAGTGTTTTTTTTGTTAACCTCATTAAATCATAAAAATTACTTTTTGTGTTTAGTAACCCTCATATTAAGCAAATTGTGTTTTTTTACAGGTACTGGTATATTTCTATGCTTTAGGCAAGAATTGTGGCTTTGTAAACAATTTTTTAAACGGAAATCGCAGCGCTGTACACTTTATATTCTAATTTCTGTGATGACCCTCCTGTCGTCTTTCAGTGTTCCCTCCCTGTGATTGGCTATTGTCGGTGTCATCTGCATGAAATCCCTTGATCTCATTCTGTTTTGTGCGCTCTTGCTGCAGCTGTCAAATGGCGGGGGTTTTTTTCATTCTACATTCTTGGCACCAACAACCGTTACAACGCTGGCAAGTTGCAAACTTGGAATGAATGTTTCTGGGCAGGGCTATTTTTTAATTTCAGATAGACTTTTATGGCATTTGCAGCACAGATTGATCAAATAAGTGTCGAACTTTAAAAGTGTTTTAATAGAGAAATATATAAAGAAAAGAAGGAAGAGAGATCTGATAAGGACGATAGATGTTTGATAGGAGGGAAGAAGCAAACCACACAAGAGCAGAGCAAAAGGAATCACTAATGGCAGTTGTCATTGCTCTAGCAGGACACTGCAAGTTTAAATTAGTCGCACTTTTCAGCTGGTTCCAGCACTACTTTGGTGGGATGGGATGTTGGGTTGTTGCTTTTTGTTTGTTTGTTTTTGTTTGGGGGTTTGGGGTTGTTGTTGTTTTTTTTGTTTTTTTTTGGGGGGGGAGGGGGGTTAGAGGCACAAATCAGTCGAACTGGGCCAGTGTGAAAGCGGAGTACAAGCTCCAGTGATAAGGTTAAAGAAAAAGAAAGAAGAAAGGGAAAATCTACAAAAGTAAATACCACTTATGTTCATGAGTATATTATAGATGTTCTTGGGTGATTTTCCCAAATTAGAGGGGCTATACCCCCTAAATTCTGGTATGAAGTGGGTCTTTTTAGGGATAGGGGTACACTTCATATTAAGTATTTTTCGCTTACTTCAGAATCGAAGGTTATTTAAGAGTTTTGATTATGGAGACTAGGGTCCTGGTAAACATTGAAGGTGCGCCCTCATCCGGGTATCTAATCTTTATATTGTAAATGAATTCGCTCTTTCATTTCCCTCTCACATGATCATTTTTGTTTCCCATTATATAATGTTGTATTGATTTCGTTGTGCCCATGTGAATGAGTCTTAAAACCTGTGATTAGTATCTATGTTGCTTTGCATCATGATTGTTTACCACTCTTCACTGTGTCGATGTAATGCCGCCCATAGAGTAGCTGAAGTAATATGTCAATCGTATGCCTAATGATATTTTGACGGAGCAATACAGGCCCATGATGGTGTTATTCATTTCGTTGACGTTGTAAGATTTCATCTCCATTATATATCATATGCATCTTCTATCTCCTCTCTTGTTTTCGTTTGGCACTCATATGTTTGCGACTCCACTCTGTGCCCGGCAATCTATACATCCATCCATCCGTCCAGCCATCTATCCATCTATCTATCTATCTCTATCTATCTATCTATCTATCTATCTATCTATCTATCTATCTATCTATCTATCTATTGTATTCAAGTTCTGTCTGGAGGTGGTATAAAATATCATTTATGACTTAATAATGAGCAGTATACATTACTTGTTTGATTAGCTCTCTACTGTATGTGTTCTTGCCATTCTATAGTAGAAAAATGGCACGTTAGCGTCTAATGAATATTTTGTCTCATCGAAGTAAAGCGGCAATATCTATTACCACTACGACCTTGCCTCTAAAAGCAAGGCATAATTCCGCAACAGAGCGTTCAACGCCACAAAAGAATAACACTTTTGGTCTAGAATAAAGAGAAAATTACAGGAAAGCGCGTTTTCTACTTCTTATCCGAGAGGTTTTATGGGTGTGCGGGAGGCTGGGTAGAAAAATCAATAGCCACTACTGCACAGCACACAAACTCACTCACACACCCCGACCGGGTGTGCCAGGGTTCTCTCCCCATCGGCCCCTTTCCCGTAATCTACATGCTGTATTCTCCGACTCCTCGCCTGTTTTGCAGCGCTCTTTCCTGTTTGCTATAATATAGAAGTCCTTACAACGCAATGTCGGGTGTGCATATCAAATAATCTAACAATCCATACAGGATAGATTCCAGCCTCCTTCCCTTGACCCGTAAATTGTACAGTTACGTTAGATAACTGTGACAGACTCGAGAAAATGTTTTCCTCGAAACTCTTGCACACTCAGACCAAAGAAATCTTACTCTTGTTCTCTAGATCTACCTCCTCTTTCTTTTCTTTCTCCCTCTTCTACCTCGATTTTAAACTTAAGATCGACTACGAGAAAAGTAAAGCACTCTTAGCTCCTACCCCCATCCCATCTCCCACCTCACCCCCTCCATCCACATTCTCTCCTTTCTCTCCTTCCACTTCCTCCTCCAAGTCTCATTCTCCTTCTCAACTATCATCACTTCCCCCCCTTCCCTCCCCCCCCCCCAAAAAATCCCCCACCTCCTCTCTTTCCTTTCCTCTCACTAGTCCCTCTTTCATAAGCATGACATTGGAATAAACCGGACTAAGTGCCCAGAAACACAGTATACTGCGTGGTTTAGAAAAGGGACACGGCTATAGCCACATCGTAGCTGTAACCTACATTTTCCTGACCACACCCACCTCGGCACCTCGAATGACCTGAAAGCTCAACAAGTCACAGCTTTTAATGCGAAGTGCTTTGTTTACACTTTATTTGCTATTTAAACAACATTTTATAGCCCTCATGATAATTCCCTCTGACGTCTATTTTAATAACTCAGTTGGTCGTGAGAAATGTGGAGTTGTGGCACTTCGACTGTGACCCATAAAAACAAACACGTTTGATTTTAGAAGATGAGATCGGGTTTTGCCATAATCGCATCAGATTACGGAACCTGGCCAGAAATGTCGCCGCCATTCTGCAGATTATAAAGAATTGGGAGGGAATTGCTATCGTACCCCTTATTTTTCTCTTTTCTTTTGTGGAGATGTCTTCACTTAGTTGGCTATGGATATTTCATCGTATTCTGATCTTCTCCATACTTTCTAAATTTTGTACCCCTTGTCTTCCGTTTACTTGCTTTATACACGTTTTCGATACGTGTGGCACATCTATTACCACTACCTGTTGGAGTAGGGAGAAGGAAACGGTTGGTTCCCATCCTTGCTCATCAATACCAATCTATATATATATATTTTATAATTAATTTTAATTTCCTAGAGAGAATGCAATATGATTTCATTCTTAAGATAAATGACAAAGAATTATTGTCCTATCAGCTAACACCCCTGGAGAGTTGTTTTTGCCGTAGCTCGTGGGTAGATATTGTCAGGGGCATGGCATCTGACCTTTCGCTTGGTCGATACGTTGACATCGTGGAATTAGAAAGGTTTCTTGGAATTAGTCAGAGAGAAAACTGATCAATAGATCAAAGTAATATCCATAATTTCTTTACCCGCTTAGGCGACCGGGTGCTGACTGTAGTCAATCGTGTTTTGGGACAATATAACTGATCAGAGAAAAATGTCGTAAGATCTAGAATCGGAGACTGCAAAAGGCATGCACGCATTATGGGTCATGAATTATTAAAAACCCGCGGGCGTTCTGGCTTCCAGTAGGAGGCGGTCTGGTTATAGATTCAGAAGCAATGGTACTACATGATTATCGTTGGTCAGCGGACGCGAGTTTTCGCCCTTTATAATTTCATTTCCTTGAGAATGGAAGCTTGGGGACGGAATGACGCGCCGGCTTTTCTCTGTCGATACAAGCTCTACATTGTGTTCAATTTTCTGTGCGCAGAACGAGCGGACGCCATTACACGCCGCTGCTGAAGGTGGGCATGCTGAAGCCGTCAACAGACTACTGCAGGCCAAGGCGGACCTGCACAAGAAAGACAAGGTAGGACAATGCTCAGACAGTCATTTTCCTCTCCCTTAACTAGTTTCATTTTCATTGTAATCACCGACTCGGGTGCTGTTTTTGTTCTTTTGTCGGAG